CTTTGTTGTTGGAAATTGTTTAGAACAATTGATGCCTAAAAATTCACCTAAGTTTTCTAAACAACTTTCTAAACCGTCTAATTCGGGCAAAATATAGCCGTTTGGTCGGGTTCGGGCTTCGGGCAACTCGGGCCGAAGTGAAAAAATTTAAAAAAATTCCGGCGGACGGCGATCTCACAGCAGTGGGCTCCTGCGATTCGTGCATTTTCGGGTAGCCCGAGCCCGAACCCGAAAATGGAACTTGCACGGGCCGGCCTTTGGCCCTGCCCGCCGAGCCTGAAAAATTCGAGCTTCGAGCAGGCCGCCTGCCCAAAATTCCAACATAATTCATATACTAAAAATTAACTTTAAACCTGAATACAAGCAAAGATATAATGATACATATTCGTCGCAATAATTCTGAAATTTGCACATTTCCAAATGTTTCTTTTTTATATATACAAACATTTATTTTCAAATGTTGCACATATATAATGATCATTTTTTTTAGAATGTATTTTAATGATAATCACTTCAATGGTATCTTATTTAATTTGATTTTTCTTTTCGAAGGCAATCAATCAATATATTCGTTATACCACAAAGATGTCATTGTTTCATTTGTTCACATGAAAAAGTTAATTTGGAATGAACATGGGATCCTTAATTATGTACATGCAGCTCGCCAGTATGTTTGTCAAGAAATACGAAAATAGTATGTAATTAATTCACTCACTTTTAAATTACGCGACAATATTACAAGCGAAAAAGTACCTGATCATACATCAGCTAGTTATGAGATTTTCTCATACCGGTCATGGTGTGGCAAAGCAACGAAAAATTAGAAAAATTAGGTTCCCCTTACTTAATATTGAGAGATCGATTCATATTGTTTAAAGTCATAAGGTTGAAATTGCTCAAGTATAGATTAGGGGCTCGTTTGACAAATATATTTAAACTAATAATTCTGCTTTTGTTATAGTGTAAAGATCAGGAAAATTCTGATATTAATTGATGTAATTTACGTAATTAAATCATGAATTTCCTGGATAATGACATATTTTATAATGAAGGATTTATGAAGTTAATAATATTATTCTAAAATTCTATATATATAATTTTATGTCAAAAATTTTTATGTTATGTCTCGGTCGATAATCCTCACCGTAAATTAAGACGGGAGAAATTTTTGATTCGACTATGACTCGTAATTCTGTTCATAAGAATTTCTGAGTACTGTACTATGTTAGTAATACTCTAAGAGGCACTCTAACATTTAAAGAAATCCTTAATTACCAATTAGTAAAATCGGACTTACGTGAGTCGCATTTTCAGTAAAACCGTAAAGCCGGGCTCAAAAATTAACACTGTCGGTCATCATGTTTTACTGAGAGTTTAAGACACGTATGTTGAACTCATATTTTATGTTATTTTAAGACATATTTTAAAGTCAGAAAACAGTCTGAATAATCTACGCGATTTTAAATCTAAACCGGTATTAATTTCTACCGAGTATAGTGTAGGACTGTGTTTTAAACAATGAACTGAAAACTGCAGGAAAATATTTGTCATGTAAATTGATCTAGAAATTACTGTCAATATAAATTTGATTTGACAAGAGAAGATTTTAGTGGGAGATAAGGATGAGACTTGATTTGACCTTAAGTTGAAAGATGTTATAAGTCATCATTAAGGAGATTTCTCACTCTTTTTCTCTTAATCTTTGGCAGCCCAAAATTTTTGTCCAATTAGTGAGCCTAAGAAACTTAAGAATTATGGTTAAGTATAATTAACCAATTGTCTATAAATATCACCACTTAAAATTAAGCTCATTTTCTACAATTTCCTCATTTCTTTTTCACCTCTCTTGGCCGAACCACCCTCTCACCATCTCTCTCAAAATTTTTCTCTTTTCCACACCTAAATCCTACTAGCCGAAAATACCAAAAAGAAAAGGAGAGAAGAAGCATTTGGTAGACTTTTTACAAATGATCTTCATGGGGTAATCTCTTGGTTTCTCTTTTCTTTTTAAGAATGTTTAAGTTTAGATTTTTCTAGAGTAAAAAGTTTAAATCTTTGTATTGTAGGACCTTCTCATTTTGGTGGTCAAAACCATCTTCTCCTAAGCCTTGTGGTAAGACTTTTCAAAACTTATCTTGATCTCTTAACTTTAAGAACAAAGTTTGGATTGTTTACAAAGTTGTGTTTTATGTGTGTTAAAAGGTTAGATCTTCACATGCATGAGGTTTTTAATGCTAGATTTATGTTTTAAAATTGTATTTCATGTCTCAAGATTGCTGTTTTGTGTGTTTGGAACAAGTTCTAAACCTTTCATGTTAATCTTAAGAGAATAAAGATGCAAAAAAATTTAAGTTGGTAAGCTTTATTTTCGGGTAAAATTTTTTAGTCCACTTGGACTTAAAATTCAGAGGTGTTATAGTCCAAATTGGTAAGCTTTATTTCACAAAAGTTGTATATGTTGAAGTGGTGAACATTTCCTTATAACTGAGAAAAATCTCAATTATGGCCCTAAAATGTGTTTTTAGACGTTTTTTCAAAATTGGCCAGAATTTCATCAAAACTGTCTAAAACTGTCAACTTGAACTAGTTTCTGTTTTACTATTTTTGGACCCTTTAAAGAGCAATTTTGGGATTTCTAAGACACATGTGTTAAAGTTTTCGACGTTACGAACAAATCTCCGTGACTGTGAAAAATCACAATTCTAACTCTAGGAGCGTTTTTACGATGTTTTGAAAAACTACGCGAAATAATATTTGTGCCCCTGTTATTTTTAAGATTTCGGTCCGTTCCGAGGCCGAACCTCATTTTCCGTGAAACACGAAACTTTTAGATCACATTAAGACGAAATAAGAAGTTTTAAAAATGTTACAAACCTATGGTTATCTTCTAAAAAATAAGCACTAAGTGCTTAGCAGACCATATTCCTAGTAACTGATGATATTACTAGCGGTAAAATGAGATTTACTAACGATTTTCATAAAAAGATTGGATGGAGAATTTTTTTTTTTTATAAAAACACTAAGTATGGGCCCAACACTCGTACTAGGCCCATAACATTTCAAGCCTAAGTTAGGCACGCTAGTGTAAAGGATCGTTGTAGACATGTTGGAGACTAATGGACCTTAATACAAATTTAGGTCCAATCTAAGATATAATATGAAATAATAACTTAGACAAAGAGCATGGTAAATAACTGATTTAAGTTGTTAACCTAGGACCGATTAGCAAAGGCAATTAAGGAAAAGTATATGATAAGGGTTTATTAAAATGATCTTTGTAATGTGAAAGAAGTTAAATGATCCATATTTAAAAAGGAAATATTTCTAAGTATAGGAATGAATTCCTAAATAGACTAAGCTAATAGACTAGCTTATAATGAGTCAAACTTACACTCTCGTGGGTTTCTTTACAGAACACAACAGTAAAGGTTAACTTCGGCGAGTAATATAATATAGTCTCAACCTTGACTGAAAGCAGGTAAGTGGAAATCTCACCTACAATATGAATAATTTTAAAGTGAAAAATTATACATTTCTTATATACATGTTTTTGCTCTATGATATAGAATGTCATGTCATATCATGTAACATGCTCACTAATGAAATTAATGAGAACAGTTTAAAGTTGAGTGTAGTACGAACCTCCCAAGATTGGGGGTTTATGTTCAGAAAAAAAAATGATGAAATGAATTATGGTCACAGTGTAGTTGGGGACCTTGCAAACCCTTTCTACTCGCTGATCGCGCACAATCAGTATGAACACTCGGGCCCATAAGATTAATAAATCAAGTTTATAAAAGAGCATAATTGGTACATGCATTACTGTTATGCTTTAAGTACTCTGTTTTTAATTAGCAATACTTAAATTTCTACTTACTAAGTATAAACTCACCCTTAAGATGTATTTATACTGTAAGGAAATAACAAATGAAAAGTGAATGATGGACAATGCGCAACAGTAGATGAGCAACGTGGAGAATGAGAAATTGATACCGCTCGCATTTTTATTCCGCAATATGTTTTATTATGACAAGACCTTTTTAATTATATGTATGTAGTATGGTTTTAAGAAGACCGAGACTTCACTTATAATTTAAAAATTAATGTATGATCTTTTGAAAAAAAAAAATCGGCAAATTTCACTTTAATTAATTAAAGCATTTTAAAAGAATTCATGATAGTAAGTTTAGGAAACGGCTTTCTAGATTGGATCGTCACATGTAGTACTTTTAAAAATTTCTGACTAATAATTCTCTTACAAATTAAATTTTCATCCTAAATCAAAATTACTGATTTAAATGTATGAATTAAAAAAATCCTCGATATTGGAGTACTTATTAGTGACCGTCAAATTAAAAATGTGAGGCGCCGATCCTTTTTTTTTTATTAACAAAATAAAGTTACGAGATTTTTCCCCAATACACCAGAGAAAATAAACACACATATATATGTGCTATACATATAACTAGAACTCATAGTTTAAAATATTTAAAAAGATAGGGAACATTTTTTAATTTATAGAAATAAAAAAAATATTTAAGCTCCGCAAGCTCATTATTGTTTTACTTTTTATTTTTTCTCACTCTATTGTAAAATCTCATGAAAAGAAAAAGAAAAAAGAAAAAAGAAAACAAGACCAATGTGTAGTGCAACATACATACCCAAACTCAACTAAGCACTGCACAGCAAAAACTAGAAACGCCACGTAATCTATTGAAAAATCCCACACGTCCTACTTATACCACCTATTCCAAATCACATCTCCCGCCAAAACCTCATAATCTCTGCCTCAATCCTTATGCCACGTGTACACCTCCCAATCCCAAGCGTCCACGTTAACCGTAAAAACCTCTCAACTTTTCCCTTGAAACACCGCCCTCTCGAGAACCAGGTGGCCTTCATCCAAAGGATCTACTTCGTTTCAACGGTCCAGATCTCTTCTCCGCCAGCTTATAATACATTCAAAAATTGCCACCTGAACTTCAGGTGGAAAAGATTTTCCCGAGAAAATCGAAAGAGAAAACGATAGATAGCGAAGGAAGGGAGAAATCGATTTAAAGAAAGGCTGGGGAACAAGAGAATCGGAAGTCCATGGAGAGCTTGAATCGGAAGGATATCGACTGTCGTTTGGAGGATTTATGTACGAACAAGAGAATGAGAGGCATCAGCGAGATCAACTCGTCGGGTTCGGAATCGTCCAACCGGAGGATGATTGGGAAATCCGATGGGGAGTTAGAGGAGAACGACAAGGGCGACAGGGGAAGGAGCTTGATCAAGTGCGATTCGTTCGGCTGGATCTCGGTGATCGGGCGGCGGAGAGCGATGGAGGACGCGGTAGCGGTGGCGGAGTTCGATTCGTACCGGTTCTTCGCCGTGTACGACGGCCACGGAGGGTCGGGAGTGGCGAATGCGTGCCGCGATCGGCTCCACCAGCTGCTGGAGGAAGAGGTGGAGGGTAGGGCTAACGGATCCGGCGACGGCGCGGCAGTGGAGTGGGAGAAGGTGATGAGGGAGTGCTTTCGGAAGATGGACGAGGAGATCGGTGGAGGTCGAGGGTTCGATGATCAGGATGAGGACGGCGACGGCGGCGGCGGCCGTGGTCGAGAGGTGGCGTTGAATACGGTGGGGTCCACGGCGCTGGTCCTCATTGTTGGGAAGGCGGTGGTGGTGGTGGCCAATTGTGGTGATTCTAGGGCGGTGCTGTGCCGCGACGGTGGTACTGTGCCCTTATCACGTGCCCACAAGGTGACGTGCCTTTTCTTATTTTTCTTGCTGTTGTTATTATTTCTTTTTTTTTTTTTCAAGTAATTATTCGCATATCGCTTATATTTATTTATGTGTTCACATAACATTACTGGCTGTTTGTTATATTTGTTTGGATCTCTTTTTTTTTTTTTTAGTCTTATGTTTGGATCTCTTTTTTTTTTTTTAGGCCCGTTCACTTCGTTGATTCGAGTTTGTAATTCGAGTTAAGATGTGATTTTGTATGAGAGTTTTTTACTCTAATAAAAAAGTTAGATGTAACTGTTTCTGAGAGATTTTTACTTAGCAAAACTCAAATTCTAAATTCGAATCGACGAAATGAACGGGGCTGATCTTTTGTTTGCATTGATTATAATCATTAAGGTTTTTAGAACTTTTGGCACCTATTTTATCGGGTTTTGATAATTTGTACCTTTAAGCCTTTTATTTTGACACTTTACGGCCTCAATTAGGATGTCCATCCTACCTGTCCTATTTTCTAATGTTCGTTAGCGACGAAAAAAGTCAACGACGGCCTCACCTCAATCAAAAATTCCCATACCTTGTATAAATTTTAACACAAATTACTCAATCCCCTAATCCGATATAAAAAAAAAAGGGGATAAATTGCAATGATTTAGCAAGTTGAGGGGTAAAGTTTTAAAATTAAAGTTTACTAATAAGTTGTCAAAATCTGATAAATTTGAAATACAACTGCAATTACTAAAACCCCTAATCCAGAAATCGTTATTGCTTCAGTAAATTTGAGATATAATTATGTGGTATTTGAGTTTCGTAGTGATACGTAACTCTATTGGTCAAAAAGTTAGTTCTGGTGATTAACAAGTCATTAAAATATGATATGCTTGAAAAAAGAGAAATGAGTGATTTTTATTTTAGTTTATAGCTCATACGGTGTGGTGTATGTGCATTTTTTCGAGTTATTAATAGCTCATCCATAAAGTTATATGGGCATTTTTGGTATCTAGCTTGATAGTCCTTGTCCAGCTGAGGATATGTTGAAGTAAGCATGGTTTTGTGATTTCTTATTTGATAACTCTCTTGCACAGCCTGACCGACCTGACGAAAGGGAGGGAGTCGAGGCGGCGGGAGGAAGAATCATGAACTGGAACGGATGCCGCGTCCTTGGAGTTCTTGCTACTTCAAGATCGATAGGTAAATTAAAGACTTCGCATCTGTTTTAATAACATTGCATGGAGACACCATATGAACAATGTCTATATATTTTTGCATCGATACGGGCTACGTCTCACAATGCGCTAGTATGTTTTGGCCTAAATGTGCTGGATTAGAAAGATGTTAGCATGAATGCTAGTAAGCTATTGCTATTACTGTACTTGTTTGATTCCTATAGCGCAATGGTAAAGGGTGATACTGATTTTTGAACGACTCAAATTCTCAATTGGTGGCATTCTATTTGTTTGTGTAATTAAACTTGACTGTTTCTATTCTAAGTATTTATTTGTTTATGGTAATATTGGCATGATTGAGGAGATTGCTATTTGAAGCCATATGTGATCTCTGAACCTGAAGTCACCGTTTGGAAACGTTCCGACTCGGATCAATTCCTTATAATAGCAAGCGACGGACTATGGGATGTAGTGTCAAATGAGTTTGCCTGCGAGGTTGTAGGAAGGTGTTTTGATGGGCAAATCAGGAGAAGGTTTCCCGAAGGGTTGGGTGGAAGTACTGCCGGAGAGGCAGCGGCTTTGCTGGCCGAACTGGCAATGGCTCGGGGAAGCAAAGACAATATCAGTGTTGTAGTTGTGGATCTAAAGAAGTAGAGCCGAGTGTGTTCCTTGATTTTTCTTTCGCTAGTTCCTTTTTTTTATTTTTTTTATTTCTGGTTTTAACTTTTGAATTTGATCGCCTGATGGCTTGATGTACAGAGATGTTTAGTCTGGAAGAGAACTTTCGTATCTGAAAATTCTTTGGTGGATTTACTGTTTTGACTGTCGTAAACTATCTGGGGGTCTCAAAAACTTTTGTTATTGATCAAATTTTTTAGAGTACTAATTCATAATTTCATTAGTCATTAGCTTTGATTGTGAAACGGATATCACATGAAAAGTAGTTCTAATAAGCTTTTGCCTAGGCTGGAACTTCTCTCAACTTGCTATTCTCGATTTTATTGATTGATGCAAACAAGTTGCTTGGATTAGAAATTTCCTGGCTATTAGTTTATCACGAGAATTTTCATTTCTTGCCTTCAATGAAGTATGTTAAACAGGAGGGATATGCCATATAAAGAAGATGGACAGAATTGAAGTTGCACAAACTATTATATTCATATTGAAATTTAAGTAAAACTTTTGCAAAGATTACAACGTCACGACACCAGAATAAAAAACAAAAAAGAAAAAGAAAAAAAAGGACGTCCGAAACTGCTCTGAAGTCTGAAGTACACAATGAAATGAAAGACTTCCCAGTTTAGAAGTCATTTTTCACTGCTCAATTCCCACTCTTTTCACTTTCACTCTCTCTCATATCTGTCTATATAAATAGTGTACTGGAGCAGAAGGAGGATGAGCACTTTTCTTAAACCGTCTCTTCACTCCTTTCTTCCCCAGCCTTGAAGCTTATTTAACCTGATCTCATCCTAAAGCCTACTCCGATCCCAAATCACAAGTAAAGATAAAAACGTCGAAAAAGGAAAGTTTTTAAAAATAAAAATAAAAAAAAAATAAAAAAAAAAAGAAAGATAAAAGACCTTTCTGGACTGCATTTGTATAGCTGCACAAATCTTACATTACAACCCCAGAAACTGACTGAGAACTTCTTTCCTTTGTGACTCAGTTTTTCTCCTTCTTAGGCTAATGTGTAGCTTGAGACTGAGACGTCTGCTGGAGAAGTAGAATGAATGTAGACAAACTCAAGGCTCTTTCCGGACGGCAAAGAGTTGAGCCATGACGGAAAAGTATAGGAATCGCCAAACTTAGAGAGACCCCAAAGTGGACCATAGAGCTTGTTAATTGAAAGCTTCATGTTTTTGAGTGTCTTAGCGGACTTGTTGGTCACCACTGTGGAGTATCTGTAGTAAGTATTTCCATTGGCACTCCATGAAGTTGTCAGTTTCTGTGCTATGGAAATTGGGCCAGAAGATGAAGCTGCAAAACAAGCTCCTCCAGTGTCTTAGCGGACTTGTTGGTCACCACTGTGGAGTATCTGTAGTAAGTCTTTCCATTGGCACTCCATGAAGTTGTCAGTTTCTGTGCTATGGAAATTGGGCCAGAAGATGAAGCTGCAAAACAAGCTCCTCAGTCAGATATCACTTTCCCATATATATCCAGCGTTATGGGTCAAATTTAAACAAAATCATTCAGAAGAGGAGGCCATGGAGAGTACCTGGAGTTGCTGGACTTGTTTCTGGCGTTGGAGCTGGTTTTTGAGGGGTGACATGTTTAGGTGCTGGAACCACCTCTGAAAAATGAAATCCATTGATCAACAACTCAAATTGACGTGGCAGGCTCTGTCTGCTCATAGTTATCTCTTTCATCGGCAAAGTTGTCATAAGCATCAGGGCCACCGACAAGGGCGCCGGTGAGGAGATTCGGGTCGCTGGCTTTCCTGCCGAACCAAGTCGCGTAGCCTTCTCGGCAGCCAATAAACTTAGGGCTAACCTTGTAGGAAACAATGGAAGAAGCCCTGTGGTGAACTTGGCGAGGGTAGTTGTTTCCATACCCAACCATGTAGCTAGTGGCTCTTGGGTTGTCCCCAAGAATGTAGTCCACCTGAGAAGTCAAAATTTCCAATCCACTTGTCAACAACAATAATCATACTAACACTCCTTGCTTGACAATGTTTACTAAGCAAAATATTATATGTCATCTTTTCTTAAGAGGACAAAATGTTGACTTCTCCAATTTACCTGAGATTTCGCGAAGGAGAGAAGCTGGGATGATGGGACGCTGCCGGAGGCACACTTGAGGGGTTTTCCGGAGGAGGCGAGGTAGTCAGAGTAGACAGTGGCCAAGAAAGAAGCACTCGTGACGAACTGCATGTTGTTCCATCTCTGCCTGAAAATGAGGCCACCAGGAGTCTTTTGCACGTTACGAGCGCCCTTGCCGATGCAAGAACACATAAAGTACTCTGCCTTCTGCTGGTAACTCTCAAACACTGATGCGTAGCGACCAGCCTTTCCTTGCATTAGGAACTGTAGTAGGAGCAGGACACACATTTTAGCATATCCTTGCCTTTAACAAATGTGGCATTTATGTTACTTAGCCTTGCATTTTCCGGGCAATAGTGTAGAAGAACACTCGTCTATTTCAAAAATAATCTAATTATGACTCAAATTTACTAAAGTTAGTAACATTGTCAACAACAAAGGCACGCTAAAGTATAAATTTATGCGGCTTAAACGTAATAGTTGTTGAAAATTTTGACCCAAACTTGTTAAAATTAACAACGTTATTCACATTAAAATACTCAATATCGTTGTTAACAAGCTAAACATTCTAATGTCAACAACATTTGCTAACTTCAACAAATTAGAGTCAAAACTTTCACCAAAACAAACATAATATTTTTTGTCATAATAATATATATTAAGACAAATAATACTATGTTAAGCAGCCAATATTTAGTGTCCATATTTAATACATTACCTTGGCAACAAGAGTCTGAACACCAGCATATTTAACATCCCAACCAAACTCAGTCATGCCCCATCCAGTTCCACCCATGGAATCCCCATTCTTCGCAAGGTAGTTCAAGTAGTACTGGTTGTTAGTGGCCTGGTACAACCACGCCGCGGCCCATAGTAACTCGTCCTGTTTAAACACATCAAAGCCCAATAAAAAAAAGCCCAACTCGATAAGTACGACTAAGGAGGCCCATAAAAGCCCAAAGTTAACGCATACGTACATTGTAACCGCTAATGGACCGGTAGTATTTTTGGGCCACAGTGATGCTGCCGTCGTATTTGCCCCTGTACTTATCGGCGAAATCGAACAGCTGAAATAAAAGGAGAGAAAGCAGAGCCGTCAGATTTACACTGGTAGTAATTATTGTAAAATATAGAGGGTATTATTGGAAACCCAAGAAAGGAAAGCATAGATAAGGTGGGGGCGACTGGCGAGTCTGTTTGTGGGCGTTACGAATCCACCGACAGGACTCGCACGTGACAAGGCACATGAAAGTCGCACTCATTATGGATCTTACATGTGGACGGTTAGGATCCGGAGGACCGAAGACAGTACGGTCAAAAAAAACACACTCACCGTGATAGACGGCCAAAATGTGCGTGTCGCCACGATCCAACATATGTGCCGGAATTTTTTATTATGCCCAAAAAATGCACAAAAAACGACATCGTTTCTGTTTTGTCCTATTTCGACAAAGCTTGCGGGTATTCTAAAATTTCATAAAGAAAAATGGTGACAAAGTATAATTAAGGAAAAATCGGAGCCCTTTCCAATTAATTTACAGGGGGCGAAATTACGCTGGTAAGTAGCAACTAGCAACTAGTAAGCAATGACAGGACTGACAAAAGAGGAGGTTGGGTCCCACACAACTGCCGTATTAACTACGACGGTTTTGCTATCATACGCCTGTCGCGCATTGTAAAAAGCGATAATAGTTAAGTCAGGCGCAACAGTCAGTTCAGCAGCAGCAAAATGAAACCGAACCTAGCTAACCTACGCCGGAAACGGCGCATCAGAGCAAAACTAGAGTCCTTTTAGCTATCGTGGTTAAAAAAAATTGAATGTTTAGTTTAATTTCTTAATTTACGTATATTTTTTTTAAGAAAAAGTATTATAAATTATGATTGAATTCGCAATCGCACGCAAAAATTAATCACATCTAATTTTTTTTATTATAATAAAAAATTTTATACATAAAATTATATGTTATCTCAAATTAAAAATTCAAATCAACAAATTAAATATACTCGCACGTGACAAGGCACATGAAAGTCGCACTCATTATGGATCTTACACGTGGACGGTTAGGATCCGGAGGACAGAAGACAGTACGGTCAAAAAAAACACACTCACCGTGATAGACGGCCAAAATGTGCGTGTCGCCACGATCCAACATATGCGCCGGAATTTTTTATTATGTCCAAAAAATGCACAAAAAACGACATCGTTTCTGTTTTGTCCTATATCGACAAAGCTTGCGGGTATTCTAAAATTTCATAAAGAAAAATGGTGACAAAGTATAATTAAGGAAAAATCGGAGCCCTTTCCAATTAATTATTACAGGGCGAAATTACGCTGGTAAGTAGCAACTAGCAACTAGTAAGCAATGACAGGACTGACAAAAGAGGAGGTTGGGTCCCACACAACTGCCGTATTAACTACGACGGTTTTGCTATCATACGCCTGTCGCGCATTGTAAAAAGCGATAATAGTTAAGTCAGGCGCAACAGTCAGTTCAGCAGCAGCAAAATGAAACCGAACCTAGCTAACCTACGCCGGAAACGGCGCATCAGAGCAAAACTAGAGTCCTTTTAGCTATCGTGGTTAAAAAAAATTGAATGTTTAGTTTAATTTCTTAATTTACGTATATTTTTTTTAAGAAAAAGTATTATAAATTATGATTGAATTCGCAATCGCACGCAAAAATTAATCACATCTAATTTTTTTTATTATAATAAAAAATTTTATACATAAAATTATATCTTATCTTAAATTAAAAATTCAAATCAACAAATTAAATACACTATTTCATTTGTTTTCCAAAACCATCTTCCACTTGGATAGTTAGAAAAGAGTTAAGAAAAAAACAAAAGCGAAAGCAGAAAACCCAAGTTGTGAAAATCCCTTTATTGTTTCCGACAAACAGTAAAAAAAGCACTATTATTGTAAAGACGAGTAAGACAACGAAAAAAAGAACATACGTGAACAGTGGTTATTTTGTTTACATTATTGGCACGCATTTAAGTGTGAAAATATAGAGGGAAATCTTAATGCTAGCATAAAGAAAGAAGTAATTAAATAAAATATAACGTTAATTTTTTTCACAATTTATTCTCTGTTTTCAAAAATTACTGTTTCAATTTCATCTCCACTTACTCTGTGGAAGGCCAAAAAAAAAAAAGGAATGACGATTTGCTTGAAGAAATTTCCGAAAAATATTTTAATATTAAATATATAACAACTATAAAACAAGATGTGCAATCTGAAATTGTTTTCTATATTTTTAAAAACATTTTAAGGCTATTTTTGTTTTTTTTATGTTTTTAAAATCTGAAAAATACACATAATAATTGTTCAAAAAAACAAGATAAATCGAAAATTGAAAATTGAAAAAAAAATAAAAGATACATATATGTATTTAATTAAAAAAACAGAGAATGAAGTAAAGACCTGATGGGCGTGACGGAGGAGAACAGAGGAGTAGCCAGGGTTGGTGCGACGGAAGACGATGGAAGCGGCGGCCATGGCGGCAGCGGTTTCTCCGGCGAGATCCGACCCGGGGTTGCTCGGGTCGATCCTGTAAGCACGGCGGTCGGTGGTCATGTCCTCAGGTCTTTGCCAGCAGTAATGGTCACTGTTCCCGTCTCCCACCTAACCACAAAACCAAATTATCATCCCCCAACAATGACATTGACCACAATTAGTTTCTAATCCCCACTTAGATTACGTATAATGATGTTTAACACCACAACCTAACAAAAAGAAACCACTTATTGCAACTTTAAAAAAAAATTAATTCTCTTCTTCCTTAAACATAACTAGATAAAGGAATGGTTTTTCTTTCGTCTTTCGCAATTGGGCATCGACCAAAAAGTGAAAAAAAAAAAAACCTCTCCATAGAGAACATAAGGTTGAGGGTGAGCTTTGATGAAGTAGTCAGTGCCCCACTTAACAGCGTCCATGGCATGACTAAGCTCACCATTCGCAGCCATTTGCTTCCCATACTCAATAATGCTCCACGACACCATTGTCACTGTGAACGCCATTGGTAAACCAAACTTCACATTGTCTCCCGCATCATAGTACCCTCCAACCAGATCCACCTACCAAGAAGAAATCTCATTTTTTGTATCAAAAAGAAAAAAAAAATAAATAAACTGGTGCTTTGAAACTCATTTTATAATGATTTTATTTTTTATATAAAAATGAAAATAAAAACGTTTTTAATTTTGAACAGAAATTATTTTTAAAAATATATTTAGTAAATGATTATTATTTTTCTTCTATTTTATATTAAATTATTAAAAATATTTGTTTCCTGTTTTTTTGCGCTTACCCCACTGGCTTTTCCGTCGTTGAGGCCAGAATTGGCTCTCCAAGTGACTCTCTGGTTGTGGGGGAGATAGCCGGATCTTTGAGCTTCAAAGAAGAGAAGACTCTTGCTGAGAGCTTGGCCATAGTCATGGCCAGCCAAAGCAAAGGGAGAAAAACAGAGGACTAAAAGCAGAGAAACAAGTTTCACAAACTTCTTCTCCATTATGGAAACTGAAAATGCTGAAAGAAAACACTCTGATCTGTTTACAGATCGGTTCAACAAGAGAATTTCTTTTTAACTGTATATTATAGTATTGGAGGATTGACAATGTGGGTATGGTTTATCAGCTAAAAACTTCTGATAAACCCACCAAAGAAAGATAGAGAGAGAGAGAGAAAAAGCAAACGCTTTGAAAAGGGTGAGAGAGAGAGAGAGAGTGCAGAGAAAGGCAAGAGCTCGAGGCTCTATATATTGAGCAGCAGGGGAAGGCCAAGTGACCAGATTTTGGCAGAGAGCATTAAATTATTTTACATTTTTTAAAAACAATTTTGCTATATTATTGTTGTTATTTTTTCTTTTTTGGAGTTCGGAAACGGTTGAGAAAAGAGCAGAGCCATGTGGGTGTCCCCTGGCTCTTTACAGGAAGGGTCGGTGTGGGTTTAATGTATTTGTGGTAAAGAAAATCACCATGGGAAATAATTAAAAAATGTATATATTTTTTGTTTGTGCGTGAAAAAAAAAAAAATAGTTTACCCAAAAGGGTGTGTTTATTATGAAATGAATTTATGATGGACAACATTGAGTTTCAATGGGGTCAGACTGAGGCTTCAGAATTACCAAAACCAGAAAATTGAAAGTGAGATTTGTTATGAAAATTAAGATAATGTAAAACTAAGAAGAAAGCTTTTAGGGAGAAAAATTAGAAAAATAGTTTTATTAATATTGTGGAGATATATAAAATGAAAAATTTTAGAGTTTTATTTATAAAAAAAATTTATATTATACACGATTATTATTTACACAATATTAATTATTTATTATTATTATTTTCACAATAAAATTCTGACTTACCAATAATTTTAACTTTTTTATATAGTAATTTTAACGACGGTTAGTATTCATAACAAAGATTTATATTTTGGGGGGTCGAAAAAGTATCAGAAGAAAACTGTCTTTTGGTTCCCAGTTCCGAACATGAATTACCCATATTGCCCCTGGTTCTTTCCCAAGTGCCAAATGTCGTATGCTTGGGAAATATTTTGTGGTTTACACATGTTTCAATAATTATCTGGCATCATTTGATTGGATCATGGGCAGTGAGTTTGGAAAACCTCGTTGACCTCCTTTGAAATTAAACTATTTATTTTTATAAGTTTACCGCTCGATGCATCGGGAAAAAATGTTTTGACTGACTTACCAAGTGACAGCCCTTTGTTTCTCAGTAATAATAATATAAACCTTCTAAAGCAATGATTTTTCGAACTTCTCCTCCTACTAAAGGGATTTTACTTTGTCGCTATGTTTTTGCTTCACACTCGTTTAGTCGTTTAACTGTTTGTCTGTGAAAAAACAAAATCCAGAGAAAGTGATGAACTTTTGGGGATGGAGAACTTTGGTTTCAGGTCAGTTTTACACGATTATAAATAAATCCCATCATTTCTTTTCTTTTCTCTCTTTTTTTCCTTCTTTTTTTTTTTTTTTGGTTCTATATGTGGGGAATATACAACTGCATGTGTAAAAACGTTAACAACTTGTGAGTGAACGCAAAATTAATATGGTATCGCCCATATCTTCTTGTTCTTTGATTTGTTTCTATTCATTCGAATTGTACGCTATTTTCTACAGGGACCGTGTTGGTACTTGTGGCAGATGTGAAAAGTAAGAGGATGTTTAGTAGAGGGATTCGTTCCCTGATTCGAATCATGATTTGTGATTCGTTACAGTATTTTTTCTTATAAAAAATTCACGTAAATCAAAAATAGTTCGAATCACATGGTTTGAATCCTCCAACCAAACGTCCTCTAAGAATACTCGTGACTCTTTATAGTATTTTCTCTCATAAAAAATATACGTAAATTGAAAATAATTTTAAATTATGATTCTGAATTCATCATCTAAATTCTCTCATAAAAATAATACCAAAGAAGGTTCATTCATTGAAGGAGGATGCTTTTTTTTTTTAAAATTACCTTCCAAAATTTGCTTGGTTTTTTCTTCTCTTTCATCTCCATTGCGTTTTCTTAACTTGTATATGCGTGTTTGTTTGTAACACAGACTTTAACGCCGGATAAACATGGATAATGTTGAGTGTGTGGAATTTAATTATTAATTAATGGTGATGTGGAGTTAGTTTGCCGATTTACGTACTTCAATTGCTCTTATTTTGCTTATATTGAGAGGCATCCGTTGAGAACGGGCTTTAAGTACGAGATGTGTGATTCTCTTATAATCTTTTTTTTTTTTCATCGTAGTAAAATTTTACGGCGACTAAAAATAAATGTGACTTTGACATTAAAAGTGAATTATTAATTCGTTTAATTCATGGATTCAAATCATTAAGGTGACATTTGGTTCGTGAATTTAAATCATGTGATTAGAATTATTTTTTATTTACGTGTATTTTTTATGAGAGAAAATACTGTAACGAACCACGAACTATGATTCGAATCAGATAACGAATCTAGATACCAAACGGACTCTAAAATTTAGATTTTTTGTGAGAAAAAAACACTATAAAACAATTATTTGAATGAGACTTTAAGTGGACATTTAGTTTATGGATTTCAAATTATAATTCAGAATTATTCTCGATTTACGTGTATTTTTTGTGTGAAAAAATACTGTAGCGAACTATGAACCATGATTCGAATCATGACACGAATACACCAACTAAATATGATTTAAAATTTTGTGTGTTTTAGAAAAATGCAAAATGCTAATCTCTAATATGAAAAATGCTAAATTTTCATTTTCTTTGAATATGAAAAAAAGGCTACAATTTGAACTGATTGTTTATATATTATTGGTTTACTAATTTCTAGGCACCTTAATTATTTTGAATTCTCCACATTTTCATGGCCCAGATTTTCTGGCAGTATGGCTCAACAGAATCCTGCTAAATCCTCACCACTTTTAATTAAAACAAAAATGGAGGAAGAAAATTAAAGAATGCCCAACAAACTAAAACAAACATTAATGGCACAAATTATGGCTTCATAAAACTACATTCACCGGTTACTTTCAAATCGTACGTTGAGAAATAAAAAGGAAACCCACGTTTTTCATCCAAAAACTTTTTATATAATACATAGAACATGGAGAAGAAAAGTGACTGATTGAGATTGTGAATGGTTTGTACTCTGCTGTCCCATGTAAAGAAGAAGATGCATCATCATCTTCTATTATCTAACGTTTGTAGAAACCAATTATATGATAATTTACTTATTTCGCCGATTTGAGTTTAAAATTTGAGTTTTATTTCAGTAAAAAAATTTTAAAAATAATTACATTTAATTTTTTTACTATAGTAAAAAATTTTCATATAAAGTCATATCTTAACTCAAATTAAAAACTCGAATCAACGAACTGAACGGACCCTATATAATTTTTTTTTCTTTTTTAAATTTCCCATTGATTTGGAAGATACACAAGCATTAATTTTCTTCCAACACTTGCAGGGAAAACCTTTATTACTCTGCTAGATATGCGTTGTCTGAATATTATTCGACTGGCCGTGATATTATTTCTGTTGTTCCCTATATAGAGTTACAAAATCTTTTTTCTTTTTTTTTCTTTTTTCTGGCAAATTCACGTGTATGAAGCTTAATAAATTTGCGCACACATCTTCTGCTCATAATTGAAATTCCAATAATTGTAAGCAAAAAAAAAAAAAAGAGAGAAAATAATAATAATCACTGATTATGGAGTTACATGATTACCCTTCATCGCATTTCGTCACAAATTGCAACATCATTGTACCCATGAAGAAAAATATTTTCTCTCGCTAATCAAAGAAATACTTTTATGTGTGCGACTGTGTTAAAGAATTGAAAGAAATACTTTACTTTGAAGATAGTACAACAAAATATTGCTTTAACACGAACGAAATATCATTTATGTGTGCGACCGTGTTAAAGAATTGAAAGAAATACTTTACTTTGAAGATAGTACAACAAAATATTGCTTTAACACGAACAAATTATCTTTTATGTGTGCGACCGTGTTAAAGAATTGAAAGAAATACATTACTTTGAAGATAGTACAACAAAATATTGCTTTAACACGAACAAAATATGTTGAATTTGTGGACGAAGGGATACTACAAGTAACTAGCTATTGGAGGGATATTCTATGGCAGAGTAAAAAATAGACAATATACCCTACTAAATGTGAACCTTTTTTTTTTGAACTATCAAACATTTATTTTCCTAAATTAGTTAACTTTTTTTGTTTTTGGGGTCAGAAAACCATCTAATATCAAAGAAAAAGAAAATAAAGAAAAATGAGATCTACAAAACAAAGCAGCAAAGTTACTTAGAGTCGAATAATTGGATTTGGAACACTATAAGAAACAATGTCGCCATATTAAAAAGAAGAATCATAAAGGGTCCTACGACTCAAGACACAAATAATGTCACTGTCAGTCATTCTAACCTAGCTGAAAAGAGAAATGACTGAAGACCTCACTGCAAATGGCACTCGGTCTCTAAGGAAATCCACCTCCAAACTTTAGCACACCCTACAAAAACAATTAATCTCACATCTAACTGCCCAAATAACCTCTAACATCACCACACCGAGCAACAACCATGCCATACTAAATGGCGTCTGGGAGGAAGTAGACCTAGTGGTGAACTCACCAAGCATCCAACAAGACCCTCACCACTACTAATAGAGTTGAAAATCATTACACCTTAAATCTCTCGTCACACCAAACTAAATGGCGATAGTAAAGGACTAGGAGCACTCAACAAACAAATGGACCAGAATCTCATTCACATTCTTCCACAACAGAGGTTAAAGTTTGGGCCGTCCGACTCGAATCCAACAGCTCGAATGAGACTTTTCGGTCGGGCCAATCTGGTCCATTCTTTTCATCGGGTTGGACCGGACCGATCCTAAATTGACGAGGTTAGACTGATCCGGCCTAAAGCTCGACAGGCCTCGGGTCGGCTCAAAATTTACAATATATTTTTAAGAAAAATTTTAAAAAGATGTATTTGGACAGGCCAAAGAAAGTTTCAGCCTAGGCCCGACTCAAGGGTTAGGGCCGGACTGAGACCGGGCTAACAGTGTTGGGCTTCAAACTGACTCATTTAGCTCTGTCAAAACTTACAGCTTTATTCCACAACAATAATTTCTTAAGAAACATGTACTATTAGTAAGTATGATTTTATGGGAGACAAGAATATAATCTTTGGCTCCTAAATTTAACATATGATGTTGGAGCTGCGG